AATTGAAAGTAAGAAGGAATAGAAGGGCAAAGAGGTCATTTCTAAGGGAATAAGAAAATAAGGGTTATATGTATCCACGTGGGTTGAAGAGGGGAGAACTCAAAGGCTTCCAGAGTTCTTTTCTTCTTCTTTCTTCCTTGTACGTGTAAAGCAAAACAAAGTGAGTTTTTTTATTATTGAGTTTCTTGTTAAATTTAAGATTGGTTTTTGATTATTAAATGATAACTAAGCTTAAGGAAAGCTTAGGTTATCTTAAAATCAAAGGATGATGGAGTTAGAAGAGATTAAAGATTAGAGGTTCTTGAATGAAATCTTGGAATAGAGTTCATATATAGAATTGGAAGTTAAATTTGACTTGTCATCAATCTAGTTAAGACATATTAAGGGTTAGAAGTGGAATTAAATCATGTTGCATAGTTGGTATAATTCTTGGATTTCACAAGGAGGATAGGATTCTTAGGTTTAAGATAAAATAAATGAGTATAGATTGGTTTAAGTATGTATATTGGAGTTAAGAATATAAAAGGGGATGAAACATGAAGGATTTAAGCTGAAATGGATAAGTTTTCGGGTTCAAGAACTGAATTTTGGGCAGAGTGCATCGGTGCACATTCAACATGTACCGATGCATCAAGAGAAAATCCCAGAATTTGTTGAAGGTGCATCGATGTAGATGGAGTGTATCGATGCACTCATTTAAAATAAATGAACATCGAATGCCATTAGTGCATCAATGCATAAGGAGTGCATCGATGCACCTACTTAAAATACAAACATCGAATAGGATTTATGCACCGATGCATGGGTAGTGCATCGATGCACCCGTCAAGGGATGCATCAATACATGGTGTAGTGCATTGATGCATACCTTCAATAAGAGATAGAAATAGCTTTCTTTTAGCCTAATGATTAATAGTTTGGAATATATCAATTCGTATATTGATAAGTATCAATGTATTACTATGTAGATTTAGAGCGTAATCTTATTCCAGAACAATCGAAGGATTAGAATCGAATCAAAGCAAGGCTAAGGTGAGTGCATTTTATAGTTAAAGTGTATAGAGACAAGACTTGTGATAAGTCTATCTCTTATAGTTGAATTAATGATTCCATACCCATGTATATGCATACATATACTATTGTAATAGTGATTGCATGCATAATTCATTATATGTTCATATGACATTGAATGAACGAATATCATTGCCAGAGAATATAATCCAGGTATGTGAAATAATGGAAAAGATTATGGGTTTATATGAAAAGTGATGAAAGAGATATGAAATGAGAAATGTATTCATATTAAAGCCCATGTTATATGATACGAGAGCTATAGGTATAGTTGGCATGCCAGAGTCGAGGGTATATTAGTCCTTCGGGACGTATCCAGTGGTCCTTCGGGATGTATCTCCAGTGGTCCTTCGGACGTATCCAGTGGTCCTTCGGGACGTATCGGTACATATCCAATGGTCGGGACGTATCCAGTGGTCCTTCGGGACGTATCTAGTGGTTCTTCGGGACATAGTGATCCTTCGGGACAAATACTGAACAAATTTTCAGTGCCCCATGAGGAAATTTATTGAGCTGTGGTGACAGCATTAGTGCACAACCTCAATGTACTCAAATACATCTGTTCTCAATAATGTACATGGGCAATTGAAAGATAAATTAAGGTGAAAGTGATACAAGAAGATAAGTTTCATATGTACATGACATGATTATATCGGTTATAGTGAAATGTATACATGCATATTGAAATGTCATGATCAAATGGTAAGAATGTATATTCATGAATCTATAGCTACATGTTTATTTATTGCCTCACTAATTCTATGACTTAGCGTGTAAGTGATTTACACGTAGGTACCAGGAAACAAGAAGAACATTACTAGAAGTGGCAAGAATAGCATCATAACTAAAAGATCAGATCAGAAGTAATTGGCAAAGTAGGTATTTTGGGCTGTGTATAGAGTGTTGCCATGTAATAAGTTATTAATTTCGAATGCTCTGGTCGATTTTGTATTTCGTGATCTCTTTATGTAAATTAACGTATTTTTTTTAAATGAAAGTTTAAAATTTCCCTGTTTTTCTTTAAGTGGCAAAGTTTGAAAAGTCAATGTGACACTTCGGACTCATATTCGGGTCGGATACGGGTTAGGGGTGTTACAATTCGACACTGTGTTGTGCCTAGTGTGCACCTTAAACTTACGTACCTTATATTCTCTTACATATACATTTTGCTATAACAATAAATGTGAAAGTTATGGCAGTATGTTAAAGAAAAAAAATATTTGAAAAGAAAGTTTTGAAATATGTTCGAATGAACAGAACAAAAGTTATCTATGACATTCGATGTTGACTTACATAATTTTGATAAAATCATGAGATGATTATTTTTTCAGGCTCTCAGAAGGAAAAACGACTTGACTAGTCTGGTTTGAAATTTAATGTTTTTATTTAAATTACAGTTTGTTTCTTATATTTTATGAAATTTATGGTTTTATATCACTTTAATTGTATCTCTGCCTCACTAAGTTTTACTTAGTGCGTGATGATTTTCATGCGTAGGTTCGAATAAAGTAGAAGTCGTGAAGTAAGGAGTTTGTCAGCATTTTATGCAAATTCAAACCTACCGACGATATCAGTAAGACATCCTAACCTTAACTTATTAGTGACATGTACATTATATTTGTTGGGTTTCCTTATTAAATTTATTTTAAAAGTGTTTGTAATAGTAATTAGGGTTATTTTCTTTAGTTTTATCTAATTTTAATATTAATCTTATTTATGAGTAAATTTTATAAACGTAATATTTTAAATGGTTTAAAATGAAGCGGAATTAGGCAATTGTATTTGGATATGAAATAACACTGAACTGTCTAGTTACTGACTGAAATCAAATTAATTTTCAATAATCAAACAGTGTTTTATATTTTTTTTATGATTTAGGGGAAAAAGCTTTTTAAAGTTAAAAAAAATATTAAATGAAACAAAATTTTTAAGCATTTAAGTTCAGAATGGTTATTCTCAATTTTAACGGTTTAGCATCATTATTTTTGTAATTTAACCTCGAAATCAGTCAATTTTATGTACTCATAAACATTTACTCATAAACGTTGTTCATGAATGGTTATTCTCAATGTATATCTGACAAAACGATTTTTATGGCGAATCGACCTAAATATCTCCCTATATTCCTAATATGCCCGATGTAATATTGTTTGTCCAATATTTCCCAAAATAACACATTTTCAGTTGATGTGGAAATAAGGTGCGCTCCTGGAAAAGCGCTTTAATGGGATTTTTGTTGATTGGGATACCACGCGGGTAAGGCGTTTTGCAAGGAACGCGCGAGTTTCTACTTACTGGGATGTCACGCGGGTAAGGCACTTTGCAGGGTCGCGCTTTTGCGGGATTCGGTGACGTGTGGGAAGGAGCGTTGCAGAGAATGCGCCTTCCATTAATAGGTATTTAATTCCTACCCGTTTTTCCCACCTAAATATCCTCCTTCTCCCCTATATAAACCCCTTTAACCCCCATCATCCTTCACACGAGAACAATTCTTTCTCTCTAATATAACTCAAATTCATCTCTTATTTGAGTTAAAAATTTATTAGTAGTTGGTAAGAAATTTATTTTTAAATTAGTATATTTTAAATAGTTGTTATATATTTTTATAAATAGTTTTTAAAAATAATGTTATATTTGTTTATTAAAATAATATTTATATATTTATTTATTTAAATTAATTAATTAATTAATTATTTGTGCTAATTATATTTGTTTGCCTACAGTTATAATGGAAAGCGAGATACTGCTGCGATTAGATGCAAATCATATCCCAAGACATTTTAGTGATATGGTAATATTTTTTTTAAAATTTATGTAAATATTTTTTAACTTTTTTAATTTAAAGTTATCATGAATTTATATTAATTTTAAAATTTTGGAATGTTTATTAATTATGAAAATGATCGCATTTTGGATACATTTATTCGAAACACGAAGATATCGACACCAACACGTATTTGGTCGTATCTGTCTTTCACCGGGTTCGGGTATATTGCGAAAGTTGTTGGTGGTTGTAAAATCGAACCCACCTTAATTTTCGCATTAATTGAGAGGTGGAGACCGGAGACACACACATTTCATCTTCCATGTGGAGAGTGTACAATTACACCGGAGGATGTCTTAATCCATTTCGGGCTTCTCTTGATGGAAATATTATGTGTGGTGTGACCGATGGTGATTGGCATTCACTATGCATAGAGTATCATGGAGCTTCTCCGCCAGATTTCAATGGAGGTCAAATATCTTTATCATTGGAGGAATATTGATGCTCGACAAATCTCGCAACCAGGTGCATTGTACGTGGTTGCGTCATCTTATTGATTTTAATGAAGCAAGAAGATACTGTAACACCCCAACACGTACCCGACCCGGATACGAGTCTGAGATGTCAGATTGACTTTTTAAAATAATATTCTTACAAAATAATAGAACATTTGGACTTACATTAAGAAAATAAGAAAATAAGATAATATACTGTTGAATTATGTTTCGTTATAACAAATTTAAGGTAAAAATGTTTTTATGAATAGTATTATACTGTATGAACACTACAACAAAACATAGTTTTAGCGGTGTTTTTTTAGTCCTATAGCGGCGTTTTTAAGCACCGCTAAAAGTACTTGCGGGAATAGAAAAAACATCGCAAGAAGCGCTGCCAATACCAGTGCCGCTAAAGTTAGCGGCGTTTGAGAACAAAAAATTCCGTAATAGGTCAAGATCTATTGTAACGTTTTTTGAACAAACGCCGTAAAAGGTCGATATCTATAGCGGCATTTCTTAAAAAAAACGCCGTAAAAAGTCATGATCTATAGCGGTGTTTTTGGATACAAAAGCCGCAAAAGAGCAGACCTATAACGGCGTTTTTAGAACAAACGCCGCAAAAGGTAAGACCTATAGCGGCGTTTTTTAACACAAACGCCGCTAATTACCTTTCTTTAGCTAATATTAATTGATTTTGCTTATTTCATTTCTAATATACATCACCTAAATTTATATCTAGCTTTATCTAATTAACAACAACCATACATTTTAATTAAGACAAAAACATAAAGAAAAATAATTAACAACAAATAAATTAAGTCTTTTTATGGAGAGAGAACCTTAAAGTCATTAAAGTACAAATGAGTTACAATTGAACCTCAAAGTGTAGATATACATGGATTTGTTATTCGATACATCCTCAATTTCACTAGTGTCATCATCAAAACCTCTAAATATGCCTTCTAAAGCTATTTTGTTTCCCATTTCATTGGAATTTGTCCTATTCATCGTCTTGACGTCTTCTTTGAAAGTATCATTTGACACTGAAGGATCTCTCCTCAATAGATTAAAAACAAATGGGAAACATTGTACCAATCTATTAAAGAAGCCGCTTTTTGTTGAAGTTTGTTCTTCAAGATTACTGCAATTACAATAATTTAGATGAGACTAAGAAGAGAAGTAAACAACTAGCAGAACTTGCATTCATAACCTACATGTGAGTGATTGAAAACTGAAAAAAAGATGTTGCAACAAACAACAAAAATAGGAAGTCAGGAACCATGAAAACTAAAATATATTCTACATAAGAATGTAAAAAATGTCATCATAAAGAAAATTTTTAATAATGTACTGGATGCCATCTTACTTTTAGAAGTTAGAATCCCCCCAAGATAACAACTGTTGTGACTAGAAGGTTGGGCTCCATCTTAGGATCATGAAATACAAATATAATAATGTCCTTTGTGTACTCTGTAGTTTGACGGAATGTACGCTAAAAGGCTTGCAAATCGTCATCGCTGATAACATTAGAACTTGCAAAAACACATATAACTATGCCATCGAGGTCCTACGTCCAAAAATGAAACTTATGTCACATCTGTATTAAATATTTCTTAATGATACCTTTACCCCTGCACCAATAAAAGGGCAGTCATGCATAGCTTGCGAAATTGAAGTTCTGTTGTTGTAACCAGCTCCAAATCTAAGTTTTGCATCTTTGTACTTCTCAATAATCTGAGCAAGTTTGCATTCTTAGAAAAGCAACGAAATCTTATAATTTTGGATCAATAAATCATGCATGTCTAAGTCCCTCAAATTTCAACCGATGTCGAGAAAAAAAGCGTTAGTAGCAGATCCAAAGGATAATGAAAAAAGGTAGTTTAAGAACAGAATATAAAGGGTTGAGTAATAATAAACTCATGGGTAGTAACTAGTACAAAATACAATGTCAGGTCAACTCACATTTATAACTTCTGAATCTCCAAGCACCTTAATATTATCATGAACTGCATCAATGAGTTTTCTTTGCATCTCCTGGAGAATTCCCAGAACTTACCAATGATATAAGCATGTCATAAATTTCAGAGCCAACCCAACAAGCCAAAAGAAATGCTGACACTTATGACAACTGATATGGCATTTATGGCAAGTATAACAACGTCATTGGCAGTTCTCAAAGCCTCATCTAGAGTTGCCAACTCATTTTTTAGCAAGGAGTTGGTGTCAATTTCTGCGAATAAGAAAACATGTGAGAACTCCCGACATTATAATAGGAGGCTTTTAGAAATCAATATCATAAATGATATAAATAGATTATCAATAAATTTTTTAAAAGAGATGATAAATACTCAACTAACAAAATCTTTATGTCATGCTTACCAATACAAAAATTTGTCATCTCTTGAAGTTTTCTCGTCAAATCCTTGATTTGTAAATTGTGTTACACAAAATGAGTTAAGAATCAGTTTGAATTGTTATCATAGTTATAAGCTAATAACCTCAAATTTCAAACTTCCCCCTACCGGTATACCAATAAAGCGATATGTGTAACTTTATGCCTAGTACGAAACCATAGAGCTCCCTAATACTTAGAAACATTAACTTCTGCAAGACTCCAGCACAAAACCCATAGACAATGACTACAAATTTTCTTTTGAATTAGCATATCCAAATCAAATGTAAACTCCTGCAAGATTCCAGCACAAAACCTACATGCTCTGGTTACAAATTTCCTTTTAAATCTTAGCATATCCAACTCTAGTTGATTTTCAAATTCACATTTTTCATTCTACATACTTACCAAAGCTGAGGGTTTCACAACTAACTAAGGAGGTCATCTCCACTTAGTCTTTTGCCATCAATTTATCAATCTTTGCATCGGCAATTCTTAGTGGCAAATAGCATAATTTCAGCCATACACATGACATAGCAATCTTCCTATAAAAGATTAATTATTAAATCCAGAAAGGGGAGAAAAGCAAAAAATAAATTATTATTTCACAAGGGTTAAGTTAAAAACCACTCAAACTAGAAAAAAAAAAAACAATTTCCACGACTTGTTACAGGTGGCAGAGAAGTTAATGATTATGAACGAAGAATGTTAGGAAGGTAATTATCAATCTGTTGAGAAACTGAGGACTACAAATCCTCCACCAGTCGCTCATGTCAAACCGGCAATTTCTAGTTATTCAAACCCTTTTGCTTATGTGTTTTGTAAAAAAAAATATATTACATGATACTGTCTCTATTGATTTTTGCTTCTGTTTATTCTTGCTTATTTCCTAGGCTTTGATTCAATGATCAGTATAGTTGTGTTGGTATGTTGAAGGTAACATACTATATTCTACTCAAACTAGAAATAATTCATAGATAAAGAGTAGACTAACACCCCGTGTTTTCTAGATTTCAATCACAGAAAAATCAATTCTTTGCCGTAACCAAATTGACCAAATCCAATACAGAAAATCTTTTCATATTGATATGTATATCTTTGAATTGACTTTTGAGCTACAAATTACAACTTCAAATCCTTAAACAAAGTAAACAATCAAATTATCCCTGATTATCAAATCAAAATTAATCATAATAATAAAAGAAAAATACCATTCTTTCTTCGATTTCAGCTAGTCGACGAATCACAATCCAGAACAGTGACATCAGTGTTCTATCTTCACTCCCATTTGATTTTCCAAATCTTTAAAAATACGCAGAACTTTCACATTTAGTAAACAAAATAAACCCCCAAGCTTGCAGAAATTAGGAAAATAAAATACCTTGGAAAGAGAGATTCATAAATAACTTATAATTTCAAGGATTATATCTTTATATGAAAATAGAAAAGAAACTATTACCGATGCCTCCACCTTTTTAAAAATATTTCTGAAAAGCCTGAGTTTCAGGTTAAAAGAGAAGATAAAAAATGTTGTATTCTATTTCCTTGAATAATAACACATACATCCAGACAACACATTTCAACCGAATCTAATTCCCTTAATCCAAGAACAAGCATTTGAAGAAGCCAATTCGATCGAGAAATCACCAAAATAACCTTAAGAGCAGAAAAAACACAGTTCTTTCGACGGAACAATGAAGATTCAATAGAAATTTTAAACATACACAGAGAAGGATCCTTCGACATGATCAATCACACAAAAAAATCCTAAAAGGAATTACTGAAATAAAAAAATTGAAAAAGACATAACAAAAAGGCAGAAATGAAAGAGGGGAATGAAAAGAATGGAGATACATGGGTTGAATGTAAGGGGAAGATGGATCGAACAATAGAGGTTGATGGATCAAAGGGTGAGAGTGGATACGAAGAGATAAAAGGGAAGGGAGATGTATTTCGATGCCCAGGCTAAATCTATGGAATTAGGGTTTTGTTTTGATATGTTAAAGTAGTGTTCAGAAGTAGTATTTTTTTACGTAAACACCACTAGGTTATATGACAATTACGGCATTTGGTATTAAAATGCCACTAAAGTACACGTCTACAGCGGCGTTTGTATGAAAACGCCACTAAAGTATGAGTTTATAGCAGCGTTTGGTATTAAAACGCCATAAACGTATGTGTCTATAGCGGCGTTTGTGTAAAAACGCCACTAAAGTACGAGTCTATAGCGGTGTTTGGTATTAAAACGCCACAAAAGTATGTGTCTATAGCAGTGTTTGTGTAAAAACGCCACTAAAGTATGAGTTTATAGTGGCGTTTGTATAAAAATGCCACTAAAAGTACGAGTCTATAGCGACGTTTGTATAAAAACGCCACTAAAGTATAGTATTTTGCGACGTTTGTTCAAAACCGCCGTTATATGTAAATAATTACCGGCGTTTACTGTAAAAACGCCTCTACATCTGCCGCTAAAAACCATTTTTACTGTAGTGGAATATTATCGATACTGTTTAAATAGTACTATGAACAGTAATGAACCGTGCTACAGTGTACCGATACACAAAAACTTCAAATATAAATTATGTATCGATGCACTGCTACAGTGTACCGATACACTGCTACAGTACTTTCAGAAAAACATATATAAAACTCATAAAAACTTAAACTTTCATCATTATAAAGTTACCATTTACATAAATACATTCAAACCATTACAAAACTCGATCAAAGCATACATACTTAATTTAACGACTTTGTTTACATGCCAACCTATTTATCACATAACAAAACATATTGTATAATTTACTTTTGATCTGATCTTTGAGCAAAGATATGTTGTTCCTTTGAACTTAGCTTTGATTCTCCTTCATCTCAGTACCTACGTGTAAATCACTTACACGCTAAGTCATAGACTTAGTGAGGCATAAACATAATAATGATGCATTTCTCATAAATATAAACATGCAATCTATGAGTTCAATCATGTCATATATGATTCAGTATACATAATAACATCATCATAATAATATATGATAATGCAAACACTTTTGATACCTTTTGTAAGTCCATTAATATGCTTCTCAGTACTTATATTACTATCACTAATTTTTTTATCATATAAGCATATACTAAACATTTCTATACATATCATGGAACATATATCATTTCACAACAGAGCACACATAGTATCATATCAATTGATTTATTTACTCTCTTTAAAGCCCATGTACACTTCTGAGAACTTAAGGTACGTGAGTACATTGAGGTTGTGCACACATATGCTGCCACC